AGACTGTTGGAGACTTGGGAGGATATCACTGGGACAGACTGTTGGAGACTTGGTAGGATATCACTGGGGCAGACTGTTGGAGACTTGGTAGGATATCACTGGGGCAGACTATTGGAGACTTGGTAGGATATCACTGGGGCAGACTGTTGGAGACTTGGGAGGATATCACTGGGACAGACTGTTGGAGACTTGGGAGGATATCACTGGGACAGACTGTTGGAGACTTGGGAGGATATCAATGGGAGAGACTGTTGGAGACTTGGGAGGATATCAATGGGAGAGACTGTTGGGATTTCAATGGGAGAGACTGTTGGAGACATGGGAGGATATCACTAGGACAGATTGTTGGAGACTTGGGAGGATATCAATGGGAGAGATTGTTGGAGACTTGAGAGGATATCAATGGGACAGACTGTTGGAGACTTGGGAGGATATCAATGGGACAGACTGTTCAATGGGAGAGACTGGGAGGAGGATATCAATGGTAGAGACTGTTGGAGACTTGGGAGGATATCAATGGGACAGATTGATGGAGACTTGGGAGGATATCACTGGGAGAGACTGTTGGAGACTTGGTAGGATATCACTGGGGCAGACTGTTGGAGACTTGGGAGGGTATCATGGGGCATCAGACTGGATATCACTGGGACAGACTGTTGGAGACTTGGTAGGATATCACTGGGGCAGACTTTTGGAGACTTGGTAGGATATCACTGGGACAGACTGTTGGAGACTTGGGAGGATATCACTGGGAGCAGACTGTTGGGAGGATATCACTGGGAGAGACTGTTGGAGACTGTATCAATGGGAGAGACTGTTGGAGACTTGGGAGGATATCAATGGGACAGACTGTTGGAGACTTGGGAGGATATCAATGGAAGAGACTGTTGGAGACTTGGGAGGATATTAATGATAGAGACTGTTGGAGACTTGGGAGGATATAAATGGGAGAGACTGTTGGAGACTTGGGAGGCTTTCAATGGGAGAGACTGTTGGAGACTTTGGAGGATATCAATGGGACAGACTGTTGGAGACTTTGGAGGATATCAATGGAAGAGTCTGTTGGAGACTTGGGAGGATATTAATGATAGAGACTGTTGGAGACTTGGGAGGATATAAATGGGAGAGACTGTTGGAGACTTGGGAGGCTTTCAATGGGAGAGACTGTTGGAGACTTGGGAGGATATCAATGGGACAGACTGATGGAGACTTGGGAGGATATCACTGGGACAGACTGTTGGAGACTTGGGAGGGTATCACTAGGACAGACTGTTGGAGACTTGGGAGGATATCAATGGGACAGACTGTTGGAGACTTGGGAGGATATCAATGGGACAGACTGTTGGGGACTTGGTAAATATCACTGGGACAGACTGTTGGAGATTTGGGAGGATATCAATGGGAGAGACTGTTGGAGACTTGGGAGGATATCAATGGGACAGACTGTTGGAGACTTGGGAGGATATCAATGGAAGAGACTGTTGGAGACTTGGGAGGATATCAATGGGAGAGACTGTTGGAGACTTGGGAGGATATAAATGGGAGAGACTGATGGAGACTTGGGAGGGTATCAATGGGAGAGACTGTTGGAGACTTGGGAGGATATCAATGGGAGAGACTGTTGGAGATTTGGGAGGGTATCAATGGGAGAGACTGTTGGAGACTTGGGAGGATATCAATGGGACAGACTGATGGAGACTTGGGAGGATATCAATGGGACAGACTGTTGGAGACTTGGAGATCACTTTGGGAGGATATCACTGGGAGAGACTGTTGGAGACTTGGGAGGATATCAATGGGAGAGACTGTTGGAGACTTGGGAGGATATCAATGGGACAGACTGATGGAGACTTGGGAGGATATCAATGGGACAGACTAATGGGGACTTGGGAAGATATCAATGGTAGAGACTGTTGGAGACTTGGGAGGATATCAATGGGACAGACTGTTGGAGACTTTGGAGGATATCAATGGAAGAGTCTGTTGGAGACTTGGGAGGATATCAATGGGACAGACTGTTGGAGACTTGGGAGGATATCACTGGGACAGACTGTTGGAGACTTGGGAGGATATCACTGGGACAGACTGTTGGAGACTTGGTAGGATATCACTGGGGCAGACTATTGGAGACTTGGTAGGATATCACTGGGGCAGACTGTTGGAGACTTGGTAGGATATCACTGGGACAGACTGTTGGAGACTTGGTAGGATATCACTGGGGCAGACTATTGGAGACTTGGGAGGATATAAATGGGAGAGACTGTTGGAGATTTGGGGGGTATCAATGGGAGAGACTGTTGGAGACTTGGGAGGATATCAGTGGGACCGACTGTTGGAGACTTGGGAGGATATCAATGGGAGAGACGGTTGGAGAGTTGGGAGGGTATCAATGGGAGAGACTGTTGGAGAGACTTGGGAGGAGGATATCAATGGGACAGACTGATGGAGACTTGGGAGGATATCAATGGGAGAGACTGTTGGAGACTTGGGAGGATATCACTGGGAGAGACTATTAGAGACTTGGGAGGATATCAATGGGAGAGATTGATGCCCTGTATTGGTAAATATAGCAGCTATAATAAGACAACATGTTGTTGATGACCTGTAGTGGTAACTATAACAGCTATAATAAGACAACATGTTGCTGATGACCTGTAGTGGTAACTATAACAGCTATATTAAGACAACATGTTGTTGATGCCCTTATTAAGACAGCCTGTTGTTGATGCCCTGTAGTGGTAACTTTAACAGCTATATTAAGAAAACATGTTGTTGATACTCTGTAGTGGTAACTTTAACAGCTATAGTAAGAAAACATGTTGTTGATACTCTGTAGTGGTAACTTTAACAGTTATATTAAGAAAACATGTTGTTGATACTCTGTAGCAGTAAGTATGTATATGTTAATACTGTGATAACTCGGTATACTAGATAGACTCTTCCCGTCCATACTTCCTTGATTTTACATTTTTTTATATATATATATTTTAATGTAAATATATAAGACTTCTACATTCATGCCTGATATTTTATGTACTTTTTATGAGATATTTAGAAAATATTATTTTAGTAATTTTACAGACTAATAAAGAATAGATTTTAGAATCATGATTAAGTTGCCTTCTAGTTTTCTTGTATACAGATGATTAGGGCTCCCAAGATTTTCAACCGGGGAAGAAATGTTTTGTCATCAGTAAAGGTGACAACAGATACAGCATAGTATACCGAAGTAGGACAGCAGAGACACTGAACTTGATACAGCACAATTACAATGTCTATATACTGTGTACCAGTGCATGACGATGTGAAAGTTCAGACATTTACATTGTAGGATTCTGTGATAAAATGAAATTTGAAAACAAAGTCAGCAGCGAAAAGAGGTATGACAAAATCTGTCAAGGTCAGTTGAGGTATGACAAAATCTGTCAAGGTCAGTTGAGGTATGACAAAATAGGTCAATGTCAGTTGAGGTATGACCGAATAGGTCAAGGTCAGTTGAGGAATAACAAATACTGTCAAGGTCAGTTGAGGTATGGCAAAATAGGTCAAGGTCAGTAAAGGTATGACAAAATATGTCCTCTGCCAGGCAGAACAAACGGGATAATCACTCAGTGAACAGTCAGAGTCATTTAAAAGTCTCCTTGAGACAACCAGTGGCTACTTCACTGAACATCATTTCAGAGGCCTGTAATATGCCGAGCAGAGCAATGGAGATAACATGTCTTGCTGAAGGACACACCAGCAGAGCAATGGAGATAACATGTCTTGCTGAAGGACACACCAGCAGAGCAATGGAGATAACATGTCTTGCTGAAGGACACACCAGCAGAGCAATGGAGATAACATGTCTTGCTGAAGGACAAACCAGCAGAGCAATGGAGATAACATGTCTTGCTGAAGGACAACATGTCTTGCTGAAGGACACACCAGCAGAGCAATGGAGATAACATGTCTTGCTGAAGGACACACCAGAAGAGCAATGGAGATAACATGTCTTGCTGAAGGACACACCAGCAGAGCAATGGAGATAACATGTCTTGCTGAAGGACACACCAGAAGAGCAATGGAGATAACATGTCTTGCTGAAGGACAAACCAGCAGAGCAATGGCGATAACATGTCTTGCTGAAGGACACACCAGCAGAGCAATGGAGATAACATGTCTTGCTGAAGGACACACCAGCAGAGCAATGGAGCAAATTGATTTCCCTTCACCCAACAAGGCTTGACACCAAATTTGAGAAAAATCCAATCATTCCTAAAAAAGGAGTAGGATTTCAAAGTGATTACTTTATTTCTCCTTATTAGACTTGCAACTCCTGCCATGAGAGACTCTGTGACCCAGTGCTTATACAAAATAGATTCTCCTTCAGCCAACAAGTCTGGCTTCACACCAAATTCGAGCAAAAATGCAATCATTCCTTAAAGAGAAGTCGGATTTCACAGAAATAGCTTTATTTCTCCCACTGGACCTTGCAACTCCACCATAGGGGACCCGAGACACACTGTTTATACAAGATTGATTCCCTTTCATCTAACAAGGCTTCACAACAAATGTGGGCAAAATCCAATCAATATTACAGGAGGATATAGGATTTTAAAGAATTTGAATTACTTTATTTCTCCCCTTTTGGGCCCAGTGCCTTGCAACTCCCCTGCCAGTCCCTAGAGACCCAGTCCCTTGTCGATTTCCACTTTTGGGCATGTCCCTTATACAAAATAGGGCCCAGTTCTTTCCCCTCAGCCAACAAGTCTGGCTTCACACAATTCCTTGGTCGAAAAACTTTTGCAATCATTCCCCTTTTGGGCCCAGTCCCTTGGATTTCACAGAAATAGGTCGATTTCCCCATAGTCCTTGCAACTCCCCATTTGGGCCCACCCTTGGTCGATTTCCCACTGTTTATACAAGATTGATTCCCTTTCATCTAACAAGGCTTCACAACAAATGTGGGCAAAATCCAATCAATATTACAGGAGGATATAGGATTTTAAAGAATTTGGTCAATTTCCCCTTTTGGGCTCAGTCCCTTGGTCGATTTCCCCTTTTGGGCCCAGTGCCTTGGTCGATTTCCACTTTTGGGCATAGTCCCTTGGTCGATTTCCCCTTTTGGGCCCAATGCCTTGGTCGATTTCCACTTTTGGGCATAGTCCCTTGGTCGATTTCCCCTTTTGGGCCCAGTCCCTTGGTCGATTTCCCCTTTTTGGCCCAGTCCCTAGGTCGATTTCCCCTTTTGGGCATAGTCCCTTGGTCGATTTCCCCTTTTGGGCCCAGTCCCTTGGTCGATTTCCACTTTTGGGCATAGTCCCTTGGTCGATTTCCACTTTTGGGCATAGTCCCTTGGTCGATTTCCCCTTTTGGCCCAATGCCAGGTCGATTTCCACTTTTGGGCATAGTCCCTTAGTCGATTTCCCCTTTTGGGCCCAGTCCCTTGGTCGATTTCCCCTTTTGGGCCCAGTGCCTTGGTCGATTTCCACTTTTGGGCATAGTCCCTTGGTCGATTTCCCCTTTTGGGCCCAATGCCATGGTCGATTTCCACTTTTGGGCATAGTCCCTTGGTTGATTTCCCCTTTTGGGCCTAGTCCCTTGGTCGATTTCCCCTTTTTGGCCCAGTCCCTAGGTCGATTTCCCCTTTTGGGCATAGTCCCTTGGTCGATTTCCCCTTTTGGGCCCAGTCCCTTGGTCGATTTCCCCTTTTGGGCCCAGTGCCTTGGTCGATTTCCACTTTTGGGCATAGTCCCTTGGTCGATTTCCCCTTTTGGGCCCAATGCCTTGGTCGATTTCCACTTTTGGGCATAGTCCCTTGGTCGATTTCCCCTTTTGGGCCCAGTGCCTTGGTCGATTTCCACTTTGGGCCCAGTCCCTTGGTCGATTTCCCCTTTTGGGCCCAGTCCCTTGGTCGATTTCCCCTTTTGGGCCCAGTGCCTTGGTCGATTTCCACTTTTGGGCATAGTCCCTTGGTCGATTTCCCCTTTTGGGCCCAGTCCCTTGGTCGATTTCCCCTTTTGGGCCAGTCTCTCCTATCAAAAGTGATAGAGGCCTACCATTTTTGCAAAATTTATTCTCCCAAGGATGCAAGACTGAATTTGGACAAAATCTGCTCATTCCTTCATATCTAGTGTCGATTCGTAGACAAGAAAAAAGCTGATTTATGGACAACAGATATTGCATTATCCCTGTATCTCTCATAGCCCTTCAAGTCAGGTGGATGCAAAAAAACTCTGAACAATAAATGAAGACAAATAATTTATATCTCTATAATTGTTTTATTGTATTGAATTTACATACTCTCTTATCAGGGTTTGATCAGAAACTTAACATAAGTAAATGGAAACAATGTATAAATATGTCTAAAAGATCTTCTACCTAAGGGGTGTTACTGATACAGGGTGTTAAAATGCAGTGATCATAATGGCAAAATGTAAAATCTCTTATGTATAGAAATTGGTGTCAAGTCAGTAAATATTACCTTATAAATATATAGGAACAAATATTTTCTATTTAAAATGTTTACAAATTCAAACTGGAAATAAGTATTCCTGTAAGTGATCAGGAGCAAATAAAATCACACACATCTTTAAAATGTATCCATTTTTTTTTATGAACATGGCTGGAGTTAACAATCATGTATTGTCTATAGACATAAACTGATCTTGTATGCTGTTCCAGTGGAACTATTGTAGGAGTGTAAAGATACTCTTACTGGCAAATAACATGTTACAGAGCACAAGTCACTACAGCTCAGAGACTGGATCATACAGTATTGTAATATCTCTACATCCGGCTGTGTTATGGCTGTAGAGTGCATACAGCCTGTAACCGATGGTTGTTTTGTACCTGTTAAGTTCACTTCCTCTAAGTGTCGTTTTAAAGTAAAATGTTCTGAATATGTAAGGATCAGAAAGTTCTACACAAAAGATCACTAAAGTAAGATAAATGTTTGGGATCCTATGATGTTTATGGAAACTTACCCATTCTCAAACCAATCCAAACAATATTGTTGGAATACCGACTGATTCAAGTAATCATGTATATATAATCATTCCTCAGTAACGTGAACAAGTATTATCATTTTAGAAATCATTAATCAAGTGCATGAAAAACAAATCTGATTCGCACTTCTATGCACAGACATTTTGATCCTGGGATAAATACTAGAAATCAGAAAATTCAAAAACTCTTTTCCTTCATACTTTTGTTCTCTGGAAGCACCTGTATATTTTGGCATTATATGGTTGATATAAGCAAAACACAAGTGAATCTATAATACAAGAACTATAAGTATTATCACAAGTGATGTAAAACAGATATGTAAAGTTACAAACGTTAGTAATGCACCATCCAGTTACAGAAAAATTTCTTAAAATGTATAAAAGCAGGCTGCACTCGGAAGGTAGTGCACTGTGGCCTTGCTTATTTATACATTAATATGTATAACAAGAGGCCCATGGGCCTTAACGGTTATCTGACATAAAATACAAGATTTCAAATTTTGAACTGATTTCACCTGGATTTAAGAATCAAGAGCACTCAGCCACCACCTTGAAAGTGGGTTAAGGTTATTCGTTTCAACAAACTTCGTAAACCTTCATCCCAGCATGCTACAGGCCGAATATTATCACCCTAGGTGTTCTGGTTATTCAGAGGATGTTTGAAGTAACAAACTTTGGTCAGAGCCATGTCATGATCATTTCATGCAAGTTTTGGCTCAATCGCACTGGTGGAAGTTGAGAAGAAATCAAAAATGTGTTTTCAAGATGGCGGCCATGGCAGCCATCTTTGATTTCGGACCAACCCGAAATTGACAGACTTCGGTCAGGACCATGTCACGATCATTTCAAATAAGTTTCAGCTCAATGTCACAAGTAGAACTTGAGAAGAAGTTGAAAATGTGTTTTCAATGTATTTTCAAAATACATCTTGGATTTCGGACCAACCTGAAATTAACCAACTTTGGTCAGTGCCATGTCACGATCATTTCAGGTAAGTTTCGGCTCAATGAGGCATGTAGAACTTGAGAAGAAGTTGGACAACATAAGCCGGACGACGCCATACAAAAGGCGATCGCAATAGGTCATCAGACCCTTTGGGAAGTGTTTCATAAGCATTACAAAATACGCCAATCCTAATTTGAGCATCCATAACTGGATGAATTTCAGGCTAATAATTTTGGCTTCTAGGTTTTAAGATTGATTTCCAAGATTATCTGCTGAATTTCTATAAAGTTAACGGTGCTGGTGCAAAAACTGCTAAGACGATTTGTAGCAAAGGACATTTTTGATTCGTAGGAAGGATTACTGACAACTCTTAAACAAACTAACATTGACGATTGGTAGAAAGGTTTCATTCATAGGAAGGTTTATGGATGATTTGTAGGAATGTTTATTATGATATTTACAAAGTTTACAGACTATTCATAAATATTGCAAGTTCAATGACATTTCGTAATAAAAGTTCACTGACGATTCACAGGAAGGTTTATTGCCATCATTTATAGGATTGGATTGTAATTAATGGATTAATTACCCTTTGTGGAAATTAGGGAAATTGTCCAGTGCAGTATCTCATATAGTAAAATCAATAACTGCCTCAATTAACTCCATTTAATTGTTATTACGTAAGTTATTGAGCGGAAACCTTTTTTGTAATAAACCTTCATATGAAGTTTCCAATTAAACTGTAAAAAAAATCAGGAGTTATTGATCAGAAACCTATTTTGCAAATGTACCAAGGGTCATAACTCTGTAAATAATGAGCAAACAATTTTGGTTATCAAACTTGACCTGACTTTTATGGTAATAAACCTTCATGTGAAGTTTCAAATTAACCTGTAAAAAATATTCAAGTTATTGAACGGAAACATATGTGCAGCCGCCCGCCCGCGTGAAAACAAAATATGTCCCGTCTTCCAACAGGCGTATAAAAACAGGCAGCACTAGGAAAGTAGTGCACTGTGGCCAAGCTCATTTATACATTTATATGTTGTAAATATTAATTGTTTATATATGGTATAGTTACAGACATGGAAGCTCATACAAATTTTACACAAATCAACAAACACACAAAGTTTATACATCATTTCGGCATCTTTACAAAATAGGCCATTTTTTCTCACTTATTCACATGAATATATATCTCACAAACATGACCCTATATAATCTAAGGTATGAATCGAGGATTACCAATCTTGCTGACATTTACCAGTCACGTATATAAACCATCTTTTACTGTTGTTCGTTAAAAAAAAAACCCTCTCAGATACTAAATGTTGCTTAATATTATTACAACTTAATTGTTGGTTAACTCCCAAAAAGCTTGATGTATTCATATGTATAAACAATGAATTATTTGTAGAGATTAAGTATGATGTATATGTATCTGTGTTGAATAATAAAAAAAAAAAAAGACATTTACAAACTGATTGATCATGGTAAACAGCTTAAAAGAAATGACATGGTATTTAACACAGGTGAGAAAATGCTGTTGATGATTGAACAGATAACATCTGATTGGTAACTATAGGCACCAAGTAAACACAATGCTGTAATAAACGTGTATACAAATATTCAGCTATACAGAATTTATCATTGGTTTTGTCACAAGTAGCACATCAAATCAACATAAATGTCAATCCCGAATCTATGTATGTCGGTTTTACTGAATCAGACAATTCTCTGACATGATTTATATATTACACAATATCAGTGTCATTATGTCTTAGATATTTAGGACATCGTAATGACAGGACAGGGCATGGATGTGTATGGATAGGAAATACCTAGTAAGTACCCTATTCATTGAGTAATTAATACTACAAATTAATCATCAGCTAAAATGGCACAACTGATTCTGAGACAAAATCTTCCTTTATAACAAACTCTGCTCCATCGTTTCATTTCGGATTGGCTTCAGATGTAAACAGTGGTTTTGTTTCTATAGTCATAAGACTCTGGTTATTGCTGTTGTAGAATTATCATCAAAAAGAACATTAAAAAAAATTGTTTCAAATTGAAAATGTAAAATGTATAAAGGCAGGTTGTATAAGGGTGACAGAGATAAGCAGTTATTCCACAAAAAAATATTAAAAAAATATCAGTAGTCTACAAGGTTCAAACAGCAGTAGTCTACATGGTTCAACCAACAGTAGTCTACATGGTTCAAACAGCAGTAGTCTACATGGTTCAAACAGCAGTAGTCTACATGGTTCAACCAACAGTAGTCTACATGGTTCTACATGGTTCAAACAGCAGTATTCTACATGGTTCAAACAGCAGTAGTCTACATGGTTCAAACAGCAGTAGTCTACATGGTCCAAACAGCTGTAGTCTACATGGTTCAAACAGCAGTAGTCTACATAGTTCAAACAGCAGTAGTCTACATGGTTCAAACATCAGTAGTCTACATGGTTCAACCAACAGTAGTCTACATGGTTCAAACAGCAGTAGTCTACATGGTTCAAACAGCAGTAGTCTACATGGTTCAAACAGCAGTAGTCTACATGGTTCAAACAGCAGTAGTCTACATGGTTCAAACAGCAGTAGTCTACATGGTCCAAACAGCTGTAGTCTACATGGTTCAAACAGCAGTAGTCTACATGGTTCAAACAGCAGTAGTCTACATGGTTCAACCAACAGTAGTCTACATGGTTCAAACATCAGTAGTCTACATGGTCCAAACAGCTGTAGTCTACATGGTTCAAACAGCAGTAGTCTACATGGTTCAACCAACAGTAGTCTACATGGTTCAAACAGCAGTAGTCTACATGGTTCAAACAGCAGTAGTCTACATGGTTCAAACAGCAGTAGTCTACATGGTTCAAACATCAGTAGTCTACATGGTTCAAACAGCAGTAGTCTACATGGTTCAAACATCAGTAGTCTACATGGTTCAAACAGCAGTAGTCTACATGGTTCAAACAGCAGTAGTCTACATGGTTCAACCAACAGTAGTCTACATGGTTCAAATAGCAGTAGTCTACATGGTTCAAACAGCAGTAGTCTACATGGTTCAAATAGCAGTAGTATACATGGTTCAAACATCAGTAGTCTACATGGTTCAAACATCAGCAGTTTACATGGTTCTACATGGTTCAAACAGCAGTAGTCTACATGGTTCAAACATCAGTAGTCTACATAGTTCTACATGGTTTAAACAGCAGTATTCTACATGGTTCAAACAGCAGTAGTCTACATGGTTTAAACAGCAGTAGTCTACATGGTTCTACATGGTTTAAACAGCAGTATTCTACATGGTTCAAACAGCAGTAGTCTACATGGTTCAAACAGCAGTAGTCTACATGGTTCAAATAGCAGTAGTATACATGGTTCAAACATCAGTAGTCTACATGGTTCAAACATCAGTAGTTTACATGGTTCTACATGGTTCAAACAGCAGTAGTCTACATGGTTCAAACATCAGTAGTCTACATGGTTCTACATGGTTTAAACAGCAGTATTCTACATGGTTCAAACAGCAGTAGTCTACATGGTTCAAATAGCAGTATTCTACATGGTTCAAACAGCAGTAGTCTACATGGTTCAAACAGCAGTAGTCTACATGGTTCAAACAGCAGTATTCTACATGGTTCAAACAGCAGTAGTCTACATGGTTCAAACTGAAGTAGTCTACATGGTTCAAACAGCAGTAGTCTACATGGTTCAAACAGCAGTATTCTACATGGTTCAAACAGCAGTATTCTACATGGTTCAAACAGCAGTAGTCTACATGGTTCAAATAGCAGTAGTCTACGTGGTTCAAACATCAGTAGTCTACATGGTTCTACATGGTTTAAACAGCAGTATTCTACATGGTTCAAACAGCAGTAGTCTACATGGTTCAAATAGCAGTATTCTACATGGTTCAAACAGCAGTAGTCTACATAGTTCAACCAGCAGTAGTCTACATGGTTCAAACTGAAGTAGTCTACATGGTTCAAACAGCAGTAGTCTACATGGTTCAAACAGCAGTAGTCTACATGGTTCAAACATGGTTCTACATGGTTCAAACAGCAGTAGTATACATGGTTCTGCATGGTTCAAACAGCAGTAGTATACATGGTTCTGCATGGTTCAAACAGCAGTAGTATACATGGTTCTGCATGGTTCAAACAGCAGTAGTATACATGGTTCTACATGGTTCAAACAGCAGTAGTCTACATGGTTCAACCAGCAGTAGTCTACATGGTTCAAACTGAAGTAGTCTACATGGTTCAAACAGCAGTAGTCTACATGGTTCAAACATCAGCAGTTTACATGCTTCTGCATGGTTCAAACAGCAGTAGTTTACATGGTTCTGTATGGTTCAAACAGCAGTAGTATACATGGTTCTGCATGGTTCAAACAGCAGTAGTCTACATGGTTCAAACATCAGTAGTTCAAACAGCAGTATTCTACATGGTTCAAACAGCAGTAGTCTACATGGTTCAAATAGCAGTAGTCTACATGGTTCAAACAGCAGTAGTCTACATGGTTCAAATAGCAGTAGTATACATGGTTCAAACATCAGTAGTCTACATGGTTCAAACATCAGTAGTTTACATTGTTCTACATGGTTCAAACAGCAGTAGTATACAGGGTTCAAACATCAGTAGTCTACATGGTTCTACATGGTTTAAACAGCAGTATTCTACATGGTTCAAACAGCAGTAGTCTACATGGTTCAAATAGCAGTAGTCTACATGGTTCAAACAGCAGTAGTCTACATGGTTCAAATAGCAGTAGTCTACATGGTTCAAATAGCAGTAGTATACATGGTTCAAACAGCAGTAGTCTACATGGTTCAACCAGCAGTAGTCTACATGGTTCAAACTGAAGTAGTCTACATGGTTCAAACAGCAGTAGTCTACATGGTTCAAACAGCAGTAGTATACATGGTTCTACATGGTTCAAACAGCAGTAGTATACATGGTTCTACATGGTTCAAACAATAGTAGATTACATCTTTCAAAAAAGCAATATCATATTATGCATAAAAACTATTTTTTTTTCAAAAAGTATGATTGTTGGCTATGAAACTGATTGTATTAAACAGAAAATATAAATATATATAAAGGTTAGCCCTAGTCTACAAATATAAATATATATATATATAAAGGTTAGCCCTTTCTTCTATACATATATAGCATAAAACACTGACAGTCATAAGCCTGACAAACTGTATATGATTTAACACAAAAATTCAGAATGATATATAAACTAGTTCTTACAATCAATGACACAAATCAAACTACACATAACACTTAAACACAGTAAAATGCTATTATATTACTACAGTCCCTGGAATCTCACTATTACCCTACACATACAGCTATTGGTACTTGGGTAGCTTAATAAGGCAAATAAATAATTATATGTCTGACTGTAGTATCTTACTATACATAGTTTATACAGAACTATTGTAATATAATTAGTAGAAATTTTACAGACCAAGTATCAACAAAATGTATTCATAACAATAGAAATAGTAAAATGTTGTGTTGAAGCAAATGCTTCTATTATATACATGTTAATGAACATGTGGCACTTTTTTTTGAAAGACACGTGCAGATCAGTACAGAATTTCTAAAGCTTCTAAACTTACTGGGAGTTTGTAAGATCTGTGTTACTTCTTTAATGCTACACCTGTAACATGTATACATGAATACTGAGGCTAAATGGACACCCTGATTTACACTGATCCAGCCATCCATTCAAACGTATTAAGTAACTGTTGTCATAGTTTTGGGTGATACAGTCCTCATTCTTATACATAAGACTTCCTTTCAGTAAGACTTTTGTGATATTGTTCTTTCATCAATAAATTATCTGTATAATGTATTCAAATACATAATTACTAAAAACGGAGTCCATGCCTGTTTGTTCAGATTTAATAACATGTCCTCATCCTGTATTTGGACGTTGTGAACAGGACATCCCACTAAGATGGTTATAAAATGAAGTAGGTGGTAGTTCAAGAAAAGCCAGGATGATAGGTTTTGTGTTTTATTAAGACAGATACTGCTGATTTTTGTTTGGCCTATTATGTCCCATCAAAGTCAGAAGTGAGCAAAACTGAAGTTGACGGTATCCAATTTAACCAACCTACCATCCCAGCTTGTAACCCACTATCTCCTTCTTCACATGTATAATTGTGCTACAATTATTAACCAGAAAAATAGCTGAATTTGCTATAATTCAAGATACTTGTGTAAACTTTTCATAGCTTTTTTTGATTTCCTAAACCCCGGATAAAATATCATTAGCTGAATACAATAACAAGCCAGAATAAATAGAACAGGTTTTAGAAGCAGGCAAAGTTCATGGTGGAGTCATGAGAGGCATTATCAAGATAACTGGGATGAGTTTGGAGCTCAAAATGAATGACAATTTTTTTTCAGATGTAGGGAGTACTGACAACAAGAGACATTAGATGTTGAAGCGTGACAAGAATTAAGATTTTTGTTGAGCAATTGTTTGATTATACACAGAATATCAAACTTCTTAAAGATGATTGATAAAGTACGTAGTAAGTAAATTATAGGTCATTTTTATCAACACAGAGCTGTTCTAAATAGTTCATAGTTGTCAGTAAGTATAGTATTCTCATATCTTTAAAAGTCGTGTTAATCATACATATTTACCATCATTCCTTTTAAGGAATGAGAAGGTTCACAACAAAGAGTTTTAATAGGTAAATATCCAGTGTACATATCAGAATAACTGTATGAACTACCACACTTAGTGTTAGCAATATTGACTACAAGCAGCCTTCATTAAATAAATGGTTAGTTTTATACAATGTCTACATCATATGTGCTAAAATTATGCATAAATATGATACAATTATCATGATTAAAATTCAGAGGAGGTCAGATTATTTGAACAAGACATTGAAGGAGTCTGACTCTCTGAACAAGACCTTTATGGAGTCAGATTATTCAAACAAGAACTAAAGAGAGTCAGATTAATTCCTGTTTCATTGGAATGTGACAGTACATCAATTACACAATCTCTCGAAGACTTCAGTCTTATTTTTATAACATACAAACATTTTACTGAGGCAGGTGAGGAAACAATCATCACAATACAAAATATGTCATTCACAATCCCAAATACTTTGTGTCCATCCAGAAGGGTCATTTCTACAGGAACGAAGGAATTGAGGGATGTCCCTATCCTGTTATAAATATCTCTAATTCTTCAGAAAACAATACGACAGTATCATTATTTGTATCTCTGCTTCATCAGAAAAAGTAAGTGTGGTGTAAAGCAGTGCTGACTATCAGTTTATACAGATCACAGATATACAGTCACATTAAAGCTAGTATATATTTTGGTCCGAGGACTTTGTCATGTTAATTTGGAGCAATGAAAGGATAGTTTCCAGCCTCCAGTAGTCCACTTAACATATTGAGCAGTTCCACGAAGCTTGGCCGGCGATCAGGCTCCTGCGAAAACGACAAGATGAAGACATAATTTACAAAATAATGTTCAACATTTATCACGAACCTTAATTCATCTTTGATGTTGTTAACACATTGACATCAATTTTTTACTTAATTTCCATAATAAAAAAAAAATTAAGGTCCAAATCAAAGATGATGATGATATCACAAATCTCAAAATCTTTAATAACGTGAAGAAAACAATTTGGAAAAGAAGCACATTAGGAATACACCTTACAACCACAAGAAACATAATTAAAAGTTGATCAGTTTTTTTTTTTTATCAAAATACAGTATTTGACTTTATCCTTCCTTCCAAAATTTACAGACACAAAATAAAGAAAATATTGCATTGCCCGTCTAAATCATACAATCATTGAGTAGTCTTTTGTTTATATCTTTCAGATATCACAGCAACTGAACCAACAACAAAATTACTGAAAATGTTTCACATGCATTCATATTTCATTTGCTAAATAAAAAATTGCAGCGTTTATTCTATTTAGATTTTGTCAAAGAAAACCTCCATTTTTTTGACCAGATTGGGATAAGGACCATATTTCTAAAAGGTTTTAATTTGCAGAGTCATTTTAAAATATGTGAAATTCCAGTCTATAATGTAATACATGACATTACATAAGAGTCCTGACTTCATGATACCACTGAATGTGCGTAAGAAACTATCATTAATATTATATACTTGTGAGGATTATAAGGCTCTTAGAGTGACAGTAACTGTAAACATCTAACAGGCAATGTATATGCAATTACATATTCTTTAACTGAAGATATAAACAGTTTAATAAGCATCACAATAAAATTAATGATTAAATATTCTTTACTGTTATATAATTATATTTAAAAACAAGAGATCCCAGTGGGATCTTGGCGCCCACCATCTGTCGGCCATCTTGAATTTGAATCAGTCCAAAAAGGTACAATGCACAAATAGAGACCTAGGGGAACCTGCATATAAAATCTGAGAAAGATCCATCCTGTACTTCCCAGAAATAGCGGTAACAAACTTTTATTTTCAAAATGAAAGATGGCTGCCCGTCAGCCATCTTGAATTCGAATCAGTCCAAAAAAGGTACAATGCACAACTAGAGACCAAGGAGAACCTGCATAAGAAATTTGAGAAAGATCCATCCAGTACTTTCCCAGAAATAGCGGTAACAAGAACTGTTTACAGACATACGGACCACGGAAACAGGGCAATTTGAATACCCCACCATCTGATGATGGTGGGCTAAAAAATGCCTGTAACTATAGTATTTATAATAACAGCAATAGAGTAAAATACAGGTGTTACATAATGACAGTAAGCCATATTTATTAAGCTCATCCCTCTCAATTGATTTTCAGATATTTCATTGTGCTATAATAAGCCCATCCTTATCCACCTCTTTTGAAATGACAAAAAGGCTCTTCCATTGTCATGAAATAAGTGTACCCTCTGACTTTGGTACGGGGGTGATGTGTAAATGGCCTAATACCCCATGCCAAACCACTCTCTTTGAATCAGAGATCAAGTGATAGTACACTGAGTTCCTGTAAAAAGCCAACCCTTGACTTCGGTTCAAAGGTGATGTGTAGGTGGTACCCTGAGGTCCTGTAATAAGCCCAGCCAATGACTTTGATTAAGAGGTAATGTTTTGGTACCCTGAAGTTATGTTAAGAGACCAACCACTGATTTTGATTCAGAGATCATGTGATGGTACCCTGAGGTCCTGTAATAAGCCCAGCCAATGACTTTGATTAAGAGGTAATGTTTTGGTACCATGAAGTTATGTTAATAGCCCAACCACTGATTTTGGTTCAGAGATCATGTGATGGTACTCTGAGGTTCTGTAATAAGCCCAGCCAATGACCTTGATTAAGAGGTAATGTTTTGGTACCGAGGTTATGTTACCGTATTTTACCGCAAATAAGTCCCCACACCCAGTTCAAAAAAGACTGTCAAAAGAGTGGAGGGGGCTTATATGCGGGCAACCCCCCTGTTCACGAGATGTACGTGTGTCCACCATCTTGGATTTTTCGTCATAAGGAAATAACTTGGTCTATCTGTCATCAAAAATAACCCAAAGACGAAAATAGGATCATGTGATGGTACTCTGAGGTCCTGTAATAAGCCCACCCCCTGACTCTGATTTAGAGATGATATATTTCTCCCCTTGATATACTGCAAAATAAAAAACTAGCCCATTTGAAAAAACATATTGAGTCAAATATACTCCACGATTATTCAAAAGCTTGGAAAGTATGTCTAGTGGATAGTTATGTCAAACATTCCAATAGAATTTACAATTAAATATCATATTGTCAAATAAACATTAAAGCATTTAAAAGGTGAATTTTGTATTCAGAGGTCATAGGTCATACAGTGTACTAGGTTATATAGATATTCATTGGCAATTCCAGTCTAAACATTTCAATACCCTGACTGTCCAACTCGTTCAAGATCTGTTTCAGTTCCTCAAAATTGGGACGTTTATCTGGGTTCTGAACATAACAAACATAAAACTTAAGCTCTAGTTTAATACTTTTACAATATCCTTTATTCAACCCTATTTGTCCTTTACACACGATATCCTTACCTGGTATCAAAAACCAATACCTTTATACTTTATAGATGTATGTAATCTAATGGTCATGTGTGCCGTATTCATCTCTTTCTAAATGTAAGTAATTCTTTACTCAACTATTGGTATCATTTACCAAACTTCAAACATACTTTACTTTATTGTTGGTATCCACTACTTACAAAAAAACAAAAGAAAAACATTTTCTCAACTAAAGATATTTTAAATAGATATTCTTATATCACAAACCCTGAGGATATGGAAATGTTCTATCTATAACTTTTCTTTTTATTTAAGTAGATATGAACATGTTGTACATTCCTGACAAGAGATATCTAATATTTTCAACAAAACTACCTGTTCTTTTCCCCCTCAATATCACTCCTAAAGCATTTACCACAATTAAGGTAACTTAGTGATTTTGGTTTTATTTTGCATCCACATAATGAGAAAGAATCAGAAAACTTTCCCATCAACAGTCAGGAGGACATAGACTACTTACATGTTGCCAACACTGCATCATGACTTTGTGAATTTTTTCTGGGCACGCTGCTGGTTTTTCAAGACGTTTGCGATTATGACAAACATAATCAACAACATCAACATTTTTCATTTTGTCGTATGGCATCACACCCCCGGTAAAAACCTCCCACATCAGAATACCTATGTAGAGAAAGTGAAATATCAGAAAAAAAAAAATGTTATACTGTAAAACTATGATGAAATGTTCTTGTTGAAAAGCAGTGTGGTCTGTAACAGGGACATGATGACCAAAGGTTTCCACAATCTCATACTTGATTCCTGACAGATACAAATGTTCCTATGTATGTTACTTGATTCCTGACAGATACAAATGTTCCTATGTATGTTACTGGATTTCTGACAGATACTAATGTTCCTATGTATGTTACTTGATTCCTGACAGATACAAATGTTCCTATGTATGTTACTGGATTTCTGACAGATACAAATGTTCCTATGTATGTTACTTGATTCCAGACAGATACAAATGTTCCTATGTATGTTACTTGATTCCATACAGATACAAATAATCCTATGTATGTTACTTGATTTCTTACAGATACAAATGTTCCTATGTATGTTACTTGATTTCTGACAGATACAAATGTTCCTATGTATGTTACATGATTCCAGACAGATACAAATATTCCTATGTATGTTACTTGATTTCTGACAGATACAAATGTTCCTATGTATGTTACTGGATTTCTGACAGATACAAATGTTCCTATGTATGTTACTTGATTCCAGACAGATACAAATGTTCCTATGTATGTTACTTGATTCCATACAGATACAAATAATCCTATGTATGTTACTTGATTTCTTACAGATACAAATGTTCCTATGTATGTTACTTGATTTCTGACAGATACAAATGTTCCTATGTATGTTACATGATTCCAGACAGATACAAATATTCCTATGTATGTTACTTGATTTCTGACAGATACAAATGTTCCTATGTATGTTACTGGATACCAGACAGATACAAATGTTTCTATGTATGTTACTTGATTTCTGACAGATACAAATGTTCCTATGTATGTTACTTAATTCCAGACAGATACAAATGTTCCTATGTACGTTACTGGATTCCAGACAGATACAAATGTTTCTATGTATGTTACTTGATTTCAGACAGATACAAATGTTCATATGGATTTATTGATTTTTATTTGATGTTGATTTGGAATTTAAGTTTTGTAGATTTGTGTTTGATGTTATGGTAGATTTAAGTTTTGTAGATTTGTGTATGATGTTATGGTAGATTTAAGTTTTGTAGATTTGTGTATGATGTTATGGTAGATTTAAGTTTTGTAGGTTTGTGTTTGATGTTATGGGGAATTTATGTTTTGTAGGTTTGTGTTTGATGTTATGGGGGATTTAAGTTTTGTAGGTTTGTGTTTGATGTTATAGGGAATTTAAGTTTTGTAGGTTTTTGTAGAATGTTATGGGGGATTTAAGTTTTGTAGGTTTTTGTAGGATGTTATGGGGGATTTAAGTTTTGTAGGTTTTTGTAGGATGTTATGGGGAATTTAAGTTTTGTAGGTTTTTGTAGGATGTTCTGGGGGATTTAAGTTTTGTAGGTTTTTGTAGGATGTTCTGGGGGATTTAAGTTTTGTAGGTTTTTGTAGGATGTTACAACAGAAGAAATGAGAGAAATTAACAGAGGTGAAATGTAAACAGATTACAGAGAGCAACTTAAACTGACACAGGACACTGCTACAATTCTATGATGAAAACAAGAAATTGCAAATTCCCAAAAAGTAAGGTGAGGACAAAAATACCTGACCAAATGAATTTAATTTAAATTAGGAAAGAAGGAACATCTAAATCAATAAAAGATATTATAAATACAATATACATCAGTATCAAATGTACACTGGATACGTTGATCTGAACACTCACCCATTGACCACACATCTGACTTGCTACTGAAGCGTGTGTAGCTGAGCACCTCAGGCGACGCCCATTTGACGGGAAACTTAGTCCCTTGTGAGCTCTGGTATTCATCATCTATCACATACCTGGTAACAAATATAATTATATTATATATAATTTTACATAGTGTTAGAATCCCTTACTGAAGTTATCAGAAAGTTTAGAAATTTTCCTGTGTAGATATATAATCTCTCAAGAATTTTATTGAACCGTTAGAAATCCTTACAATGACCCACGCAGGTATCTCTAGTTACTTCACATTATACCTATGATTGCTTCAGTTAGAAGTGTATTGCCTTTGTAGTTAACCAATCATTGACAAAATACACACAACACAACCATCCAGCTGAAAACATCCACCAAACGGGATCGCACTCTGGCATAAACATCGTAGACCAAGTCAAAATATGGAATTATTTAATTGTATAAAATTACAGATAATGTTTAGTGGTTGGCACAGGATTCATTGGATACTTCCAGAACTCATGTATATTTCTATAAGTATACTGTTCAGATTGATATTCCTATTAAATGACGTAAACTGGGAAATGTTTTTATGTCATCTTGCCTAAAAATGTTAAAAATTTTGAAAAAAATTTTGAAAAAATTTTGACATATGTTCAATTTGCTGTAAAGCACATAAATGCATCATGTATAGTTGGTAATATTTGTGGGGGATTTAAATTCACGGTCAATAAAGACATTACAAAATCAAATACCCACTGAACATTTCTACATGCAATGAAAATCTCAGAAAACATTTGTTACTTCTATACACATGGACAACAGCTTATTGACAGCTGTGAAATTTGATACCTATAGATTTACCCAGAGAAAACCACAAAATATTCGCCTCACAAAATAAAAACTTCTATACAGTACATTTACAACTTAAAACATAAAACTTAAAGCTCTACTTATCTTCACACTAATGATAAAAGTTAAAATGTGGGGAAAGTTTTCATATATATACAGTAGTATAATGTCTCTTTAGAGAATTTCCTAATGGAGTATAGTTACTGGAGTGCAAAATGGACAGCAATTTCAATTTTTTACCTTGCTAAACCAAAATCCGCCACCTTGACGACTGTATTATCACCCACTAGACAGTTACGTGCTGCAAGATCGCGGTGAATGAAGTGTCGATTTTCCAGGTACGTCATTCCATTACATACCTGTATACACATATCTAATAGAGCTGCTGTCTTTGTCAGCAGGCGAGGTTTATGTCGCCGCAAATATGTGAGTAGTGAACCTAAAATATGTAACAAACACTGAATTACCTAGAATCTACAGTGAACATCAGGCCCCACTTGTATAAAACATCTCAACTTGAGATTTCCTCAAGTCGAGATTTTCCTCAGCTGATATCTCCTCAAAAACGGCTTGTATACAATTTTCTCAAGGAACAGGAGGAAGGCATCGGCTAGGATGTCCTGAAATTCCTTGAGGAATTTTCATACAAGACATTTTCAAGGAGATATCAGCTGAGGAAAATCTCGACTTGAGGAAATCTCAAGTTGAGATGTTTTATACAAGTGGGGCCAGGTTTCTGAAAGCTAGGCGAAAAATCAGGACCTCACAGAAGAGAGGACTCCTGATAATTGTTGATATCTCTCCCCGTGTAGCCATTATTAATTTAAAACATATGTCCATATCTTGTTTCTTTCTGTAACATTTCAGTGCCACATTTAAGATAATAAATTTAAAGCAAAGATGGCAGAAACCAACACCTAGAGAACAACTTTGAACAATATCTTCTCTATTTTTTTCATTCTCTGGACATTATTTGCGAAAGTTCCTGTGTTTTCAAAAGCCTCTAATTTTGCTCTTTTCTCAATTTGAGAAAATAATAAAATAATGTAAAATAATGCTGAGCAAAATAGAATTTTCAAAGAAATCCTTTTACATCAAACTTAAAAAAAAAATTAAAAAAAACCCTATATACATGTAACATGTACTCACCTGAACTCATTAACTCTGTTATAATAAGCAGCGGCTTTGATTTTATTACAATACCATACAATTGGACTAAGTTGGGATGATTTAATTGTCTGAAAATAACAACGGGCAGTTTATATCAAACTTTTTATCAAACAGCAATACCTATCACTATAAAGTTCTACATCAATCTGGCCAATCATTAAACAGCAATTCCTATAGCTATCACTGGTGAGGTCACCTTTTACCAAGACTCTGGTGAGGTCACCTTTTACCAAGACTCTGGTGAGGTCACCTTTTACCATGACTCTGGTGAGGTCACATCTTTTACCAAGACTCTTGTGAGATGACATTTTTAGCAAGACTCTGGTGAGGTCACCTTTTACCAAGACTCTGGTGAGGTCACCTTTTACCAAGACTCTGGTGAGGTCACCTTTTACCATGACTCTGGTGAGGTCACATCTTTTACCAAGACTCTTGTGAGATGTTATTTTTAGCAAGACACTGGTGAGGTCACCTTTTACCAAGACTCTGGTGAGGTCACCTTTTATCAACACTCTAGAAAGGCCACTTTTACCAAGATTCTGGTGAGGTCACCTTTAACCAAGACTCTTGTGAGGTCACACCTTTTACCAAGACTCTGGTGAGGTCACACCTTTTACCAAGAATCTGTTGAGGTCACACCTTTTACCAAGACTCTGGTGAGGTCACACCTTTTACCAAGACTCTGGTGAGGTCACACCTTTTACCAAGACTCTTGTGAGATGACCTTTTTAGCAAGATCCTGGTGAGGTCACCTTTTATCAAGACTCTAGTAAGGTCACTTTTATCAAGACTCTGGTGAGGTGACCTTTTACCAATATTCTGGTGAGGTCACCTTTAACCAAGATTATTGTGAGGTCACGCCTTTTACCAAGACTCTGGTGAGGTCACACCTTTTACCAAGACTCTGGTGAGGTCACCTTTTACCAAGACTCTTGTGAGATGACCTTTTTAGCAAGACCCTGGTGAGGTCACCTTTTTATCAAGACTCTAGTAAGGTCACTTTTATCAAGACTCTGGTGAGGTGACCTTTTACCAATATTCTGGTGAGGTCACCTTTAACCAAGACTATTGTGAGGTCACGCCTTTTACCAAGACTCTGGTGAGGTCACACCTTTTACCAAGACTCTGGTGAGGTCACCTTTTACCAAGACTCTGGTAAGGTCACTTTTTACCAAGACTCTGGTGAGGTCACCTTTTACCAAGATTCTGGTGAGGTCACCTTTTACCAAGACTCTGGTGAGGTCACACTTTTTACCAAGACTCTTGTGAGGTCACCTTTTACCAAGACTCTGGTGAGGTCACCTTTTACCAAGACTCTGGTGAGGTCACCTTTTACCATGACTCTGGTGAGGTCACATCTTTTACCAAGACTCTTGTGAGATGACATTTTTAGCAAGACTCTGGTGAGGTCACCTTTTACCAAGACTCTAGTAAGGTCACTTTTATCAAGACTCTGGTGAGGTGACCTTTTACCAATATTCTGGTGAGGTCACCTTTAACCAAGACTATTGTGAGGTCACGCCTTTTACCAAGACTCTTGTGAGGTCACACCTTTTACCAAGACTCTGGTGAGGTCACACCTTTTACCAAGACTCTGGTGAGGTCACCTTTTACCAAGACTCTTGTGAGATGACCTTTTTAGCAAGACCCTGGTGAGGTCACCTTTTATCAAGACTCTAGTAAGGTCACTTTTATCAAGACTCTGGTGAGGTGACCTTTTACCAATATTCTGGTGAGGTCACCTTTAACCAAGACTATTGTGAGGTCACGCCTTTTACCAAGACTCTGGTGAGGTCACACCTTTTACCAAGACTCTGGTGAGGTCACCTTTTACCAAGACTCTGGTAAGGTCACTTTTTACCAAGACTCTGGTGAGGTCACCTTTTACCAAGATTCTGGTGAGGTCACCTTTTACAAAGACTCTGGTGAGGTCACACTTTTTACCAAGACTCTTGTGAGGTCACCTTTTACCAAGACTCTGGTGAGGTCACCTTTTACCAAGACTCTGGCGAGGTCACCTTTTACCATGACTCTGGTGAGGTCACATCTTTTACCAAGACTCTTGTGAGATGTTATTTTTAGCAAGACACTGGTGAGGTCACCTTTTACCAAGACTCTGGTGAGGTCACCTTTTATCAACACTCTAGAAAGGCCACTTTTACCAAGATTCTGGTGAGGTCACCTTTTACCAAGACTCTGGTGAGGTCACACCTTTTACCAAGACTCTGGTGAGGTCACACCTTTTACCAAGACTCTGGTGAGGTCACCTTTTACCAAGACTCTTGTGAGATGACCTTTTTAGCAAGACCCTGGTGAGGTCACCTTTTATCAAGACTCTAGTAAGGTCACTTTTATCAAGACTCTGGTGAGGTGACCTTTTACCAATATTCTGGTGAGGTCACCTTTAACCAAGACTATTGTGAGGTCACGCCTTTTACCAAGACTCTGGTGAGGTCACACCTTTTACCAAGACTCTGGTGAGGTCACCTTTTACCAAGACTCTTGTGAGATGACCTTTTTAGCAAGACCCTGGTGAGGTCACCTTTTATCAAGACTCTAGTAAGGTCACTTTTATCAAGACTCTGGTGAGGTGACCTTTTACCAATATTCTGGTGAGGTCACCTTTAACCAAGACTATTGTGAGGTCACGCCTTTTACCAAGACTCTGGTGAGGTCACACCTTTTACCGAGACTCTGGTGAGGTCACCTTTTACCAAGACTCTGGTAAGGTCACTTTTTACCAAGACTCTGGTGAGGTCACCTTTTACCAAGATTCTGGTGAGGTCACCTTTTACCAAGACTCTGGAGAGGTCACACTTTTTACCAAGACTATTGTGAGGTCACCTTTTACCAAGACTCTGGTGAGGTCACCTTTTACCAAGACTCTGGTGAGGTCACCTTTTACCATGACTCTGGTGAGGTCACATCTTTTACCAAGACTCTTGTGAGATGACATTTTTAGCAAGACTCTGGTGAGGTCACCTTTTACCAAGACTCTAGTAAGGTCACTTTTATCAAGACTCTGGTGAGGTGACCTTTTACCAATATTCTGGTGAGGTCACCTTTAACCAAGACTATTGTGAGGTCACGCCTTTTACCAAGAATCTGTTGAGGTCACACCTTTTACCAAGACTCTGGTGAGGTCACACCTTTTACCAAGACTCTGGTGAGGTCACCTTTTACCAAGACTCTTGTGAGATGACCTTTTTAGCAAGACCCTGGTGAGGTCACCTTTTATCAAGACTCTAGTAAGGTCACTTTTATCAAGACTCTGGTGAGGTGACCTTTTACCAATATTCTGGTGAGGTCACCTTTAACCAAGACTATTGTGAGGTCACGCCTTTTACCAAGACTCTGGTGAGGTCACACCTTTTACCAAGACTCTGGTGAGGTCACCTTTTACCAAGACTCTGGTAAGGTCACTTTTTACCAAGACTCTGGTGAGGTCACCTTTTACCAAGATTCTGGTGAGGTCACCTTTTACCAAGACTCTGGTGAGGTCACACTTTTTACCAAGACTCTTGTGAGGTCACCTTTTACCAAGACTCTGGTGAGGTCACCTTTTACCATGACTCTGGTGAGGTCACATCTTTTACCAAGACTCTTGTGAGATGTTATTTTTAGCAAGACACTGGTGAGGTCACCTTTTACCACGACTCTGGTGAGGTCACCTTTTATCAACACTCTAGAAAGGCCACTTTTACCAAGATTCTGGTGAGGTCACCTTTAACCAAGACTCTTGTGAGGTCACACCTTTTACCAAGACTCTGGTGAGGTCACACCTTTTACCAAGAATCTGTTAAGGTCATCTTTTACCAAGACTCTGGTGAGGTCACCTTTTACCAAGACTCTGGTGAGGTCACACCTTTTACCAAGACTCTGGTGAGGTCACACCTTTTACCAAGACTCTGGTGAGGTCACCTTTTACCAAGACTCTTGTGAGATGACCTTTTTAGCAAGACCCTGGTGAGGTCACCTTTTATCAAGACTCTAGTAAGGTCACTTTTATCAAGACTCTGGTGAGGTGACCTTTTACCAATATTCTGGTGAGGTCACCTTTAACCAAGACTATTGTGAGGTCACGCCTTTTACCAAGACTCTGGTGAGGTCACACCTTTTACCAAGACTCTGGTGAGGTCACCTTTTACCAAGACTCTTGTGAGATGACCTTTTTAGCAAGACCCTGGTGAGGTCACCTTTTATCAAGACTCTAGTAAGGTCACTTTTATCAAGACTCTGGTGAGGTGACCTTTTACCAATATTCTGGTGAGGTCACCTTTAACCAAGACTATTGTGAGGTCACGCCTTTTACCAAGACTCTGGTGAGGTCACACCTTTTACCGAGACTCTGGTGAGGTCACCTTTTACCAAGACTCTGGTAAGGTCACTTTTTACCAAGACTCTGGTGAGGTCACCTTTTACCAAGATTCTGGTGAGGTCACCTTTTACCAAGACTCTGGTGAGGTCACACTTTTTACCAAGACTCTTGTGAGGTCACCTTTTACCAAGACTCTGGTGAGGTCACCTTTTACCAAGACTCTGGTGAGGTCACCTTTTACCATGACTCTGGTGAGGTCACATCTTTTACCAAGACTCTTGTGAGATGACATTTTTAGCAAGACTCTGGTGAGGTCACCTTTTACCAAGACTCTAGTAAGGTCACTTTTATCAAGACTCTGGTGAGGTGACCTTTTACCAATATTCTGGTGAGGTCACCTTTAACCAAGACTATTGTGAGGTCACGCCTTTTACCAAGAATCTGTTGAGGTCACACCTTTTACCAAGACTCTGGTGAGGTCACACCTTTTACCAAGACTCTGGTGAGGTCACCTTTTACCAAGACTCTTGTGAGATGACCTTTTTAGCAAGACCCTGGTGAGGTCACCTTTTATCAAGACTCTAGTAAGGTCACTTTTATCAAGACTCTGGTGAGGTGACCTTTTACCAATATTCTGGTGAGGTCACCTTTAACCAAGACTATTGTGAGGTCACGCCTTTTACCAAGACTCTGGTGAGGTCACCTTTTACCAAGACTCTGGTAAGGTCACTTTTTACCAAGACTCTGGTGAGGTCACATCTTTTACCAAGATTCTGGTGAGGTCACCTTTTACCAAGACTCTGGTGAGGTCACACTTTTTACCAAGACTCTTGTGAGGTCACCTTTTACCAAGACTCTGGTGAGGTCACCTTTTACCATGACTCTGGTGAGGTCACATCTTTTACCAAGACTCTTGTGAGATGTTATTTTTAGCAAGACACTGGTGAGGTCACCTTTTACCACGACTCTGGTGAGGTCACCTTTTATCAACACTCTAGAAAGGCCACTTTTACCAAGATTCTGGTGAGGTCACCTTTAACCAAGACTCTTGTGAGGTCACACCTTTTACCAAGACTCTGGTGAGGTCACACCTTTTACCAAGAATCTGTTAAGGTCATCTTTTACCAAGACTCTGGTGAGGTCACCTTTTACCAAGACTCTGGTGAGGTCACACCTTTTACCAAGACTCTGGTGAGGTCACACCTTTTACCAAGACTCTGGTGAGGTCACCTTTTACCAAGACTCTTGTGAGATGACCTTTTTAGCAAGACCCTGGTGAGGTCACCTTTTATCAAGACTCTAGTAAGGTCACTTTTATCAAGACTCTGGTGAGGTGACCTTTTACCAATATTCTGGTGAGGTCACCTTTAACCAAGACTATTGTGAGGTCACGCCTTTTACCAATACTCTGGTGAGGTCACACCTTTTACAAAGACTCTGGTGAGGTCACCTTTTACCAAGACTCTGGTAAGGTCACTTTTTACCAAGACTCTTGTGAGGTCACCTTTTACCAAGATTCTGGTGAGGTCACCTTTTACCAAGACTCTGGTGAGGTCACACCTTTTACCAAGACTCTGGTGAGGTCACACCTTTTACCAAGAATCTGGTGAGGTCATCTTTTACCAAGACTCTGGTGAGGTCACCTTTTACCAAGACTCTGGTGAGGTCACACCTTTTACCAAGACTCTTGTGAGGTCACCTTTTACCAAGACTCTGATGAGGTCACCTTTTACCAAGACTCTGGTGAGGTCACACTTTTTACCAAGACTCTGGTGAGGTCACCTTTTACCAAGATTCTGGTGAGGTCACCTTTTACCAAGACTCTGGTGAGGTCACCTGTTTACTGAGGCTCTTGCGAGTTGAAATGAAAAATAAAAAAAATTTGATAAGGTTTATCAATCTTATTTGAATTGGGAATGAATGTAACTTTATATTTATCACATAACTTAAGTACTTCCACAACAATTCTTAAAAACTTCCATACCACTCATACAAAATCTAACTTCAAAACATAACAATGTAATGTGATATCTCTTCCATTGGTGACTTCACAATGGAAATGATGGGAACCTTCAGGCTATCACAAATCTGCTAGATCATATGACATTACATATATATTCAGGAACCACTTGTATAAAACATCTCAACTTGAGATTTGCTCGAGTCGAGATTTTCCTCAGCTGATATCTCCTCAAAATCGGCTTGTATAAGATTTTCTCAAGGAACAGGAGGAAGTCATCGGCTAGGATGTCCTGAAATTCCTTGAGGAATTTTCATCCAAGATATTTTCAAGGAGTTATTAGCTGAGGAAAATCTCGACTTGAAGAAATCTCAAGTTGAGATGTTTTATACAAGTGGGGCCTGGTGTGCTACACCAACAGATAGCCTCCATTGAGATCATTCTTCCACATATACCAAGTATTAGTAACTCACGTCATTGTTTTCGCCTCATCTATAAAGCTATCCTCCGACATTGTTCCTTCCTTCAGTAATTTCACAGCAACAGTCATTCCACGTAACTTTCCTTTGTGGACAGCCTGATAGAGGAACGTTTGTATCCTGTTTACTGGTTAGTAACTAAATTACTGATAACAATTTAATGTCACATAGCTTTACCCAAAATCATCCAAAATTTTCCACAGCCATAAAAAGAGGACCTTAGTTTGTTTTTAACAATAGGACATTTGCTAATTGGTAAATCTGCTTTCAGTATAACATGTTAAAGTATATATAACAATGATACCTACCCCAAAACAGCCTGCTCCTAGTTCCTCTAATATTACTACATCACGAGAATCAATTTCAAATTTACCTGAAAATAAAACAATTCAGATTATGAAGTATAAATAAAACATACCTGTTCAATATACCTTTATCTTATGGAACATACCAATACCATGTGGGACATACCAATACAATGTGGGAGATACCAATACCATGTGGGACATACATATATCATATGGGGAATACCAATACCACGTGGGACATACATATACTATGTGGGACATGTCTATACCATGTGGGACATACCAATACCATGTGGGACATGAATATACCATGTGGGACATGTCTATACCATGTGGGACATACCAATACCACATGGGACATGTCTATACCATGTGGGACATACATATACCATGTGGGACATACCAATACCACGTGGGACATACATATACCATGTGGGACATACATATATCATATGGGGAATACCAACACCACATGTGACATACATATACTATATGGGACATGTCTATACCATGTGGGACATACCAATACCATGTGGGACATGAATGTACCATGTGGGACATACATATACCATGTGGGACATACCAATACCACGTGGGACATACATATACCATGTGGGACATACATATACCATGTGGGACATACCAATACCACGTGGGACATACATATACTATGTGGGACATGTCTATACCATGTGGGACATACCAATACCACATGGGACATGTCTATACCATGTGGGACATACATATACCATGTGGGACATACCAATACCACGTGGGACATACATATACCATGTGGGACATACATATACCATGTGGGACATACCAATACCACGTGGGACATACCAATACCACGTGGGACATACATATACCATGTAGGACATACCAATACCATATGGGACATAATTACAGCATGATGAACATTATATAACATGTGGGACATACCTTTACCATGTGGGATATACAAATATCATGTGGGATATACATATACCATGTGGGACATACCTTTACCATGTGGGATATACCAATACTACGTGGGACATACCTATACCATGTGGGACATAATTACAGCATGATGAACATTATATAACATCTGGGATATACATATACCATGTGGGACATACCTATACCATGTGGGATATACAAATATCATGTGGGATATACATATACCATGTGGGATATACATATACCATGTGGGATATACAAATATCATGTGGGATATACCTTTACCATGTGGGATATACATATACCATGTGGGATATACAAATATCATGTGGGACATACCTTTACCATGTGGGATATACATATACCATGTGGGACATACCTTTACCATGTGGGATATACATATACCATGTGGAACATACCTTTACCATGTGGGATATACAAATACCACGTGGGACATACGAATACCACGTGGGTATATACCATGTGGAACATAATTACAGCATGATGAACATTATATAACATGTGGGACATACCAATACTATGTGTGACATACATATACCATGTGGTCTGAAGTATGTGACTGTAGATCTGATATTGTCTACTTACTATGGCCCATCCCAGCTGTGGCTGGAGCTGACCGCCCGTCACGATTAGGCGGACTTTTTAATCTGGTGGCTAAACCTAGAGAAATGTAAATACAAATTAGACTTCTGTAGACATGTAATTTTACCTGCTGTAGATGTCATGATGTTTAACCTACTAAAGTCATAGCAATGTTCTACAAGATATCACGACATTTCACCTACAGCAAACACTGCAAAGTTTTACATGTTTTAGATATCACGACATTTCACCTCCAGCAGACATTGCAAAGCTTTACATGTTTTAGATATCACGACATTTCACCTCCAGCAGACATTGCAAAGCTTTACATGTTTTAGATATCACGACATTTCACCTCCAGCAGACATTGCAAAGCTTTACATGTTTTAGATATCACGACATTTCACCTCCAGCAGACATTGCAAAGCTTTACATGTTTTAGATATCACGACATTTCACCTCCAGCAGACATTGCAAAGCTTTACATGTTTTAGATATCACGACATTTCACCTCCAGCAGACATTGCAAAGCTTTACATGTTTTAGATATCACGACATTTCACCTCCAGCAGACATTGCAAAGCTTTACATGTTTTAGATATCACGACATTTCACCTCCAGCAGACATTGCAAAGCTTTACATGTTTTAGATATCACGACATTTAATCAACAGTAGGCATCGCAACTTTTTAAATGCTGTAGATATCACATTGTTTGTCCTACTGTAGACATCACAACGTTTCACCTACCATATACATTGTAGACATCACAATATTTCAAATACTTTAGACATCAGGAAATTATATATGCTGTACATATCACGACATTTCACCTACTATAGACATCGCAGGGTTTCACCTGGTGAAGGCAATGTGGCATTTTACATGCTGTAGATATCGCATTTCAATTACTGTAGACATCACCACAATTTAAATGCCGAAGATATTTTGATGTTTCATCTGCTGTAGACATTGCACAATTATACATGCTCTTGACATACATTGAAAACATTGTGAAGTTTTCAAATTTTGATTTCATTTAAATTTGTTATATATGTTAATATAAACTTTACTTATTTCACAACAATTGCGAAACAAGTTATGTCAACTTATACAAATCACTCTTGTTGGCCCAGATGTAAGCGCGCGAGGGATCTTATTGTGGGAGGAAACCGGAGTACCCGGGGAAAACCCACATGGTCGGGCAGGTGACTCCTTATTTTTTCATTTCGTTCCGGGAATCGAACCCCGGTCGGCTAGGTGAAAGGCGAGTTTGTTACCACTGCGCCACCCAACCACCCTTAAATTTGTTAAATGATTTATCTTATAATGGAAGGCTGTTAATATGAGTTTTACTTCCAGGAACAGAGCCAGTGGTTCATTCATTAGACCATTTACTATATTACCCTATGATGTCATATTCACCATTGTATGATAATGTCCATCAAAGTGAATATCGTTATATTATTTTGATGCAACTTTAGCTGATGCTTTTTTTTGCACGAGTGACATGAATTTTCTTCATTCTGACGGTGAGAGTGATAGTTAAAACTTTTAATACAAAAAAGAAACAACATCTGTATCTATGTAGTTCGTGTAAAATGATAATGTTGTTCAGCTAACAGCTTTATTTAATCTGATTTAATTAACTTCGGTACAAAAATATGATGGCTCAACTTCCTGAGGACAGTTTAATGAAATATTACATGCTAATTTCCTGATTGGTTTTGTGCATGATAATCAGAAAACATCCAGATCCTTGTTCCCATGTTTATCATAATAATTATCTTTACAGCTGTAAAACATCCAGATCCCCATGTTTATCATAATAATTATCTTTACAGCTGTAAAACATCCAGATCCCCATGTTTATAATAATTATCTTTACAGCTGTAAAACATCCAGATCCCCATGTTTATCATAATAATTATCTTTACAGCTGTAAAACATCCAGATCCCCATGTTTATCATAATAATTATCTTTACAGCTGTAAAACATAATCATAATAATTATCTTTACAGCTGTAAAATATCCAGATCCTTGTTCCAATGTTTATCATAATAATTATCTTTACAGCTGTAAAACATCCAGATCCTTGTTCCCATGTTTATCATAATAATTATCCCCATGTTTATCATAATAATTATCTTTACAGCTGTAAAACATCCAGATCCCCATGTTTATCATAATAATTATCTTTACAGCTGTAAAACATCCAGATCCTTGTTCCCATGTTTATCATAATAATTATCTTTACAGCTGTAAAACATCCAGATCCCCATGTTTATCATAATAATTATCTTTACAGCTGTAAAACATCTCCCCATGTTTATCATAATAATTATTTTACAGCTGTAAAACATCCATGTTTATCATAATAATTATCTTTACAGCTGTAAAACATCCAGATCCCCATCTTTATCATAATAATTATCTTTACAGCTGTAAAACATCCAGATCCCCATGTTTATCATAATAATTATCTTTACAGCTGTAAAACATCCAGATCCCCATGTTTATCATAATAATTATCTTTACAGCTGTAAAACATCCAGATCCCCATGTTTATCATAATAATTATCTTTACAGCTGTAAAACATCCAGATCCCCATGTTTATCATAATAATTATCTTTACAGCTGTAAAACATCCAGATCCCCATGTTTATCATAATAATTATCTTTACAGCTGTAAAACATCCAGATCCCCATGTTTATCATAATAATTATCTTTACAGCTGTAAAACATCCAGATCCCCATGTTTATCATAATAATTATCTTTACAGCTGTAAAACATCCAGATCCCCATGTTTATCATAATAATTATCTTTACAGCTGTAAAACATCCAGATCCCCATGTTTATCATAATAATTATCTTTACAGCTGTAAAACATCCAGATCCCCATGTTTATCATAATAATTATCTTTACAGCTGTAAAACATCCAGATCCCCATGTTTATCATAATAATTATCTTTGTTTATCATAATAATTATCTTTACAGCTGTAAAACATCCAGATCCCCATGTTTATCATAATAATTATCTTTACAGCTGTAAAACATCCAGATCCCCATGTTTATCATAATAATTATCTTTACAGCTGTAAAACATCCAGATCCCCATGTTTATCATAATAATTATCTTTACAGCTGTAAAACATCCAGATCCCCATGTTTATCATAATAATTATCTTTACAGCTGTAAAACATCCAGATCCCCATGTTTATCATAATAATTATCTTTACAGCTGTAAAACATCCAGATCCCCATGTTTATCATAATAATTATCTTTACAGCTGTAAAACATCCAGATCCCCATGTTTATCATAATAATTATCTTTACAGCTGTAAAATATTTATCATGTAAAACATCAGATCCTTTACAGCTGTAAAACCCATGTTTATCATAATAATTATCTTTACAGCTGTAAAACATCCAGATCCCCATGTTTATCATAATAATTATCTTTACAGCTGTAAAACATCCAGATCCCCATGTTTATCATAATAATTATCTTTACAGCTGTAAAACATCCAGATCCCCATGTTTATCATAATAATTATCTTTACAGCTGTAAAACATCCAGATCCCCATGTTTATCATAATAATTATCTTTACAGCTGTAAAACATCCAGATCCCCATGTTTATCATAATAATTATCTTTACAGCTGTAAAACATCCAGATCCCCATGTTTATCATAATAATTATCTTTACAGCTGTAAAACATCCCCATGTTTATCATAATAATTATCTTTACAGCTGTAAAACATCCCCCCATGTTTATCATAATAATTATCTTTACAGCTGTAAAACATCCATGTTTATCATAATAATTATCTTTACAGCTGTAAAACATAATTGTTTATCATAATAATTATCTTTACAGCTGTAAAACATCCAGATCCCCATGTTTATCGTAATAATTATCTTTACAGTTGTAAAACATCCAGATCCCCATGTTTATCATAATAATTATCTTTACAGCTGTAAAACATCCAGATCCCCATGTTTATCGTAATAATTATCTTTACAGCTGTAAAACATCCAGATCTGTAAAACATCCAGATCCCCATGTTTATCATAATAATTATCTTTACAGCTGTAAAACATCCAGATCCCCATGTTTATCATAATAATTATCTTTACAGCTGTAAAACATCCAGATCCCCATGTTTATCATAATAATTATCTTTACAGCTGTATGTTTATCATAATAATTATCTTTACAGCTGTAAAACATCCAGATCCCCATGTTTATCATAATAATTATCTTTACAGCTGTAAAACATCCCCATGTTTATAATAATTATCTTTACAGCTGTAAAACATCCAGATCCCCATGTTTATCATAATAATTATCTTTACAGCTGTAAAACATCCAGATCCCCATGTTTATCGTAATAATTATCTTTACAGCTGTAAAACATCCAGATCCCCATGTTTATCATAATAATTATCTTTACAGCTGTAAAACATCCAGATCCCCATGTTTATCATAATAATTATCTTTACAGCTGTAAAACATCCAGATCCCCATGTTTATCATAATAATTATCTTTACAGCTGTAAAACATCCAGATCCCCATGTTTATCATAATAATTATCTTTACAGCTGTAAAACATCCAGATCCCCATGTTTATCATAATAATTATCTTTACAGCTGTAAAACATCCAGATCCCCATGTTTATCATAATAATTATCTTTACAGCTGTAAAACATCCAGATCCCCATGTTTATCATAATAATTATCTTTACAGCTGTAAAACATCCAGATCCCCATGTTTATCATAATAATTATTTTTACACCTGTAATCTTACTTACCTGCGGAATTGTGTTTGTGGTAGTGAATTAGCTCTGATATTGATAAGAATGAATATTTTTCTGATATGAAATGTTTTCCTTGATCATTTTTCTTTATGTGATAATGCCTCACCATCCCATCACTGTAAACAAAGACAAGCATTTCTGGTCAACTAAGTGGCATAACTTTGAGGTCGAAATCAAAAAACATTTAAGGGCACAACTTTGTCAGGTCATAATCAATGTTACAAATCGAAAATGAAACATTGTTGCTAAAAGATATTTGAAGATGTTACTTCATGTAGCCAAACAAACTCCAATGTAGCATTTTTACAAAGGGCTATAACTTTGATAAATCAAAAAGTGCCAGAATGAAGAAATCATATGAAATTATGCAACTTCATTAAATAGCATCATCACATAGAAAGAATTTTTTTAGATATTGTCAAGGTAAGATGACAGAATAAAACAAACACTTACTTTTCTAGTGTAAACAGCAACAAAGTAAACATCCCAAGAGTGCTGGATACCCACAAACACTTACTTTTCTAGTGTAAACAGCAACAAAGTAAACATCCCAAGGGTGCTGGATACCCAAAAACACTTACTTTTCTAGTGTAAACAGCGACAAAGTAAACATCCCAAGGGTGCTGGATACCCACAAACACTTACTTTTCTAGTGAAAACAGCAACAAAGCAAACATCCCAAGGGTGCTGGATACCCACAAACACTTACATTTCTAGTGTAAACAGCAACAAATTAAACATCCCAAGGGTGCTGGATACCCACAAACATATACTTTTCTAGTGTAAACAGCGACAAAGTAAACATCCCAAGGGTGCTAGATACCCACAAACACTTACTTTTCTAGTGTAAATAGCGACAAAGTAAACATCCCAAGGGTGCTGGATACCCACAAACACTTACTTTTCTAGTGTAAACAGCAACAAAGTAAACATCCCTGGTGTGCTGAATACCCACAAACACTTACTTTTCTAGTGTAAATAGTGACAAAGTAAACATCCCTGGGGTGCTGGATTCACGTACTAGGAAACATCCCTCACGGCCTTCATCCTTCAACACTGACTCACTCCTCTCTCTGGAGTAGTTTTTATAATACCAACTGAAACAAATTAAGTATTTGATATTTGAAATGCAAAAACAAAGGTTAAACATTAATATGATTTGACAAGCTTATCAAGATAAAACTATTTTCTGTGAGTGACACATATATCTGGGTATTTGTACATGTGGATGGTATGCCTGTACAATGGTTTACTGGGGCTGGTCTTTGTATTGGAGGAGGTAGTTTATCCTTCTTAGTATTGATAATGCCATTCCAATAAAATTTCAATGGTAAATATATCATTTTCATTGATCTGTAACTATGTGTATATATATATCATTTTAATTGATCTATAACAGTGTGTGTATACATATATAATTTTAATTGATCTATAACTATGTATATATATATATGTATATAAATATATATATATATATACATATATATCGTTTAATTGATCTATAACTGTGTGTATATATATATCATTTTAATTGATCTATAACTGAGTATGTATATATATATATATATATATATATATCATTTTAATTGATCTATAACTGAGAATGTATATATATCATTTTAATTGATCTATAACTGAGTATGTATATATATATATATATATATATCAATTTAATTGATCTATAACAGTGTGTGTATACATATATATAACTTTAATTTATCTTTAACTGAGTATGTATATATATATATAATCTTAATTGATCTATAACAGTGTGTGGAAGAACAAGGAGAACATACTCCAACCCTACTAAATGACAGAACTGAACCTAGGTCTCCGACATTCCATAGCTGTACATACTGAACCAAAGAAGCATGCTCCATCAGCTGAGTGATAGAAACTGCTTTCAACACTATGTGAAAGTCAGAATGACCCATTCCTTCTACATGGATCTGTGAGAAATTATCGTTCCAGCTGAATAAATCCTGCGATGCCTCGTCACATTCTTACCTTTTTTGCATTACAATTGAATAAAGAAAAGATGATTGTGTTTGATGTAACAGACATTTAATAGAGAAATGACGCTTATGTTCTTCAAAACAGACAGAAGATATAGCAATGAAACTGAGTGTCTTAGCGAAAGACCACTGCCTCCAAAGAAACCATTCTGATTGTGTTAATATAAAGCTTTGTTGTGTAACTGATATCACTTTGTAAAAGAAAACTGGTGATATCATAATCACATTACAAACATGCAACTGTACTTCCTTCATGATTACCATAATACTTGTAGGAATAATCTTCATCATCTTGACAAAGGCCTTTATATTTTTCATAGTGATATACTTACTCAAAAATTTCTAAATCAAATTTTCTTTTCACATAATTGGATGGAATGTAACCACTTTGGCTGTGAAAAGAAATAAAAGTCAAACATGAGTACACATAAATAACTGATAAACATGCAACTATGTTTTTAATTTATCATTCCCATAACCACTAATATAAGAATACTTCCATATAAATCCTATCAATATTACTAGGTAAGGTTCTGATATTCTGTTTAATTGACATTAGAAGAGCATTGCCTCACCTGATACATTACCTTAATGGAGCTTGTACCTACTTCATAAATGACCTTAATGGAGCTTGTACCCACTTGATACATGACCCTGAAGGAGATGGTACCCACTTGATACATGACAATATAAGAGCTTGTCCCTACTTGATACATGATCCTGAGGTAGCTTGTACCCACTTGATTACATGACCCTGAGAGAGCTTGTACCCACTTGATTACATGAACTTACCCTCGTTTATTACGTGAGAGCCACCAATGTTCTTTTGAATCATCAATGACTTCATATTCCTCACCCTGAAAATGAACATGCCTGATTTGATGTAAGATTAAGATAATTTAAAAATATTTGAATACAAACTTCATACATCAACACTGAAAACAGACTTCATTACCAAGTAAGGATTTCCAGGCCCTTACATACCAAGAGAGATAATTTTCAAGTAGATAATACATCTGTAATGAAAATGATATTTCAGATAATGTAAAATTGCCGCGGTAATAATGAGAGAAAAATTAGCATTTATTCTAAATGATATAACAATAATAGTCAGGGCTCTCTTACCCTATTTTGGGACTGGGGCCCGGGGCCCTTAGAATTGGGAAAAATAATGGTGTTTTCCTTGGAATTGGGAAAACTTGGAGTCTAAATTGGGAAAAAAAGATACTATTTTGCATTGGAAATGGGGCCAAATATCGGCCCCAAATCTGGCAGATCGACAGCCCTGTAAGTATTTGTTTTTATATGTCACAGATAAACGAATTACCACTCACCACCACCAATTCCAGGTCACCTTCCTCGGCTGGAGTAAAGTTAAATATTGCTACAAAGATTTTTTTCTCCTTGACCTCTTGACCTGGTTGAGTAGCTGACCCAGGAACTGCTGGGAGGGGAATGTTTGGTTTGTGATTTCTTGTAACCTCTGTAAGAGAACAGCAATTGAAATTAACAAAGCACTTCATTAATTCACTTTAACATACAAGTGCTACATAACAGCTTGTATGATCACTGGGAACAGCCATTTCTGTTTTGGAGTAGAGTCCAAAGACACCATTAGTCCAAGGTCAATTGTACTTACAGTCTGTCTACAGTAAGTACAATTCACTTTCACTTTTTGTTCGTTATGACCATACATCCTGGATTATTCTGTCTCAGTAGAATTTACTTATATTCTTTGTCGCGACTATACAGCATTCTGATCAATGTAGAATTTATTTACTCTTTTTCAATTGTTGTGACCATCCAGGCTGCAGCATTCCTGGCTATCAAGAAATCAACTTCTGTTTTTCACTCTTGGTGACCAAACATTCTGCAGCATAATTGTCTGTATAGAATTTGCTTATATTTCCTTGTGTTGTGACCATACAGCGTGGACTATTTCTATCTGTGTAGAATCAACGTAAGTTTTTCGTTCTTTGTAACTACAGTGAAACCTCACCTAACGACCACCTCCAAATTACGACCACCCCGCTATTACGGGCACTTTTTTTCAGTCCCGTTTTTTTCCACTATATATCTCTGTATTGGTTGCTTCAGTATTACGACCATTCCGCTATTCCGTATTACGACCACTTCTTACAGTCCCAACAACCACTTATAAACGATAATTGACCTCACAATTACGACCACGGTCTGACCAGTGATTAAAGTTTACCTGGTGGGTAATGAACCGCGAACATGTGTGTCGTTCTCGACCATTGTTTTTGTCACGGATTACCGAACCTGTCACCAGGTGTTGGTACACGAAGTAAACATCATTATCGGATTAACTTGTGTGAAATTACATGCCATACACGTTTTACTAGCGATCTATTGTTTGTTAATTATATATTGATAGATCGGTAGGTATGCTGTCCAACACCTTAGAAGCCTGCAGGGTTCTTGTGCATGTAGAAGTTATGTATGTTTTTCACTCATGACCATACAGCCTGGAGTTTTCATGTCTGCCTCCAATTCCTATATGATTTGTGGTAACCTGATAGAATAGAGCATTTCTGTGAATACAGAATCTATTTACATTTTCTCTTGGTGTGACCACAGCCTAATGTGATTGTGCTGATGTTAGAATTTTAATCACATTTTGCAAATGTTGTGACCATATTGTCTAGAGAGTTTCTGCCTAGGTAGAACTTACTTCGTGTTTTTCCTTCATTGTGACTACCGTATTTTACCGCAAATAAGCCCCCACACCCAGTTCAAAAAAGACTGTCAAAAGAGGGGAGGGGTCTAATATGCGGGCAACCTCCCTGTTTACGAGATGTACATGTGTCCGCCATCTTGGATTTTTCGTCATAAGGAACAATAGCTTGGCCTATCTGTCATAAAAAATAACCCAAAGACGAAAATAGGATCAATAATCTTATTAACAATATAGCAAAATTTACTTAATAGCTAATCATCCGGCCCGAATCCTCCGAATAGGAGAGTCTCGTCATCGGACTTGTCTGAATCAAATAAGTTGCCGTGGGCCCGTGTCGCATCAAGTTCCTGCTGTAGGACCTCATCGATCTCGCGGACGTCCATGCCGACATCCTCAGGAAGACGCTGCAACGTCCTAGACAGTTACAGGCCACACACCTGCCCAGGAAATACGACGCACATCATCCGTGTTTGGTCCCCACACACATGTCACCCTCGTGACTTCTCTCCCCTTGGAGTCTGTTCCTTTTCCTTGACCAAGGTGTTTCTCGAAGTCTCTGTCCCACTGTCTGACGAGTTTCCTGTCGATGGAGAATTCTGGTGTTGTCTAATGGAGATTTCGGTCATTGTCTCAGAACCAGTTGACGATGTCCAACTTCTCCTTTACTGTGTAACGTCTTCTTGTAGCAGGCATGATGATTTGTGTCTTGGTTGGATTTTTACTCTCTTTTTAACGACACTGATATGGCTTGGGACTCAACGTGTCAAAGTCTTCTCAACACATCAAAGCGACACTGAGTTGTTTTAGCGAGGCCCTCTCGCTCAGTCGCTGTGATTGTTAGCTAATTATCACCAGTTTAAATAACAAAAAAGTGGTCACCTGTGAACACTACAAAAACAAACCCTTAATAATTACACCTAGCGATTAGATGTAAATACTGCTTTATCATTGCACATGTTGTTTTTTTTCGAAAAAAAAGAGGGGGCTTAATTGCGAATACCCCCCTATTCCTGGCAAATTGGAAAAAGGTGGGGGGGGGGGGGGGCTTATTTGCGGGAGTTGTGTACTGCCTATTTATCACTTACGTTGTTGTTGTACAGCCTGGCGCATTCCTGTACTGTATTTATCCTGTGTTTTTTGTGTACTGCCTATTTATCACTGTGTTGTTGTGTGTACCCCTTTATCACTGTGTTGTTTGTGTACCATATTTATCACTGTGTTGTTGTGTGTACTGCCTATGTGTTTTGTGTGTACTGCCTATTTATCACTGTGTTGTTGTGTGTACTGCCTAGTTATCACTGTGTTGTTGTGTGTACTGCCTATTTATCACTGTGTTGTTTTGTGTACTGCCTATTTATCACTTTGTTGTTGTGTGTACTGCCTATTTATCACTGTGTTGTTGTGTGTACTGCCTATTTATCACTGTGTGGTTGTTGTGTGTACTGCCTATTTATCACTGTGTTGTTGTGTGTACTGCCTATTTATCACTGTGTTGTTTTGTGTACTGCCTATTGATCACTGTGTTGTTGTGTGTACTGCCTATTTATCACTGTTGTTTTGTGTACTGCCTATTTATCACTGTGTTGTTTAGTGTACTGCCTATTTATCACTGTGTTGTTGTGTGTACTGCCTATTTATCACTGTGTTGTTTTGTGTACTGCCTATTTATCACTGTGTTGTTGTGTGTACTGCCTATTTATCACTGTGTTGTTTAGTGTACTGCCTAGTTATCACTGTGTTGTTGTGTGTACTGGCTATTTATCACTGTGTTGTTCTGTGTACTGCCTATTTATCACGGTGTTGTTGTGTGTACTGCCTATTGATCACTGTGTTGTTGTGTGTACTGCCTATTTATCACTGTGTTGTTGTGTGTACTGCCTATTTATCACTATGTTGTTGTGTGTACTGCGTATTTATCACTGTGTTGTTGTGTGTACTACCTATTTATCACTGTGTTGTTTTGTGTACTGCCTATTTATCAGTGTTGTTGTATGTACTGCCTATTTATCACTGTGTTGTTGTATGTACTGCCTATTCATCACTGTGTTGTTGTGTGTACTGCCTAGTTATCACTGTGTTGTTGTGTGCACTGCCTATTTATCAGTGTTGTTTTGTGTACTGCCTATTTATCATTTTGTTGTTGTGTGTACTGCCTAGTTATCACTGTGTTGTTTTGTGTACTGCCAATTTATCACTTTGTTGTTTTGTGTACTGCCTATTTATCACTGTGTTGTTGTGTGTACTGCCTATTTATCACTGTGTTGTTGTGTGTACTGCCTAGTTATCACTGTGTTGTTGTGTGTACTGCCTATTTATCACTGTGTTGTTGTGTGTACTGCCTATTTATCACTGTGTTGTTGTGTGTACTGCCAATTTATCAGTTGTTTTGTGTACTGCCTTTTTATCACTGTGTTGTTGTGTACTGCCTATTGATCACTTTGTTGTTGTGTGTACTGCCTATTTATCACTGTGTTGTTGTAGGTACTGCCTATTTATCACTGTGTTGTTGTGTGTACTGCCTATTTATCACTATGTTGTTGTGTACAGCGTATTTATCACTGTGTTGTTGTGTGTACTGCCTATTTATCACTGTGTTGTGTGTACTGCCTATTTATCAGTGTTGTTGTGTGTACTGCCTATTTATCAGTGTTGTTGTATGTACTGCCTATTTATCACTGTGTTGTTGTATGTACTGCCTATTTATCACTTTGTTGTTGTGTGTACTGCCTATTTATCACTGTGTTGTTTAGTGTACTGCCTATTTATCACTGTGTTGTAGGTACTGCCTATTTATCATTGTGTTGTTGTGTGTACTGCCTAGTTATCACTGTGTTGTTTTGTGTACTGCCTATTTATCACTTTGTTGTTGTGTGTACTGCCTATTTATCACTGTGTTGTTGTGTGTACTGCCTATTTATCACTGTGTTGTTTTGTGTACTGCCTATTTATCACTGTGTTGTTGTGTGTACTGCCTATTTATCAGTTGTTTTGTGTACTACCTATTTATCACTATGTTGTTGTGTACTGCCTATTTATCACTGTGTTGTTGTGTGTACTGCCTATTTATCACTGTGTTGTTGTGTGTACTGCCTATTTATCACTGTGTTGTTGTGTGTACTGCCTATTTATCACTGTGTTGTTGTGTGTACTGCCTAGTTATCACTGTGTTGTTGTGTGTACTGCCTATTTATCACTGTGTTGTTGTGTGTACTGCCTAGATATCACTGTGTTGTTGTGAGTACTGCCTATTTATCACAGTGTTGTTGTGTGTACTGCCTATTTATCACGGTGTTGTTGTGTGTACTGCCTATTGATCACTGTGTTGTGGTGTGTACTGCCTGCCTGCCTAGTTATCACTGTGTTGTTGTGTGTACTGCCTATTTATCACTGTGTTGTTGTGTGTACTGCCTAGTTATCACTGTGTTGTTGTGTGTACTGCCTATTTATCACAGTGTTGTTTTGTGTGCTGTCTGTTTATCACTGTGTTGTTTTGTGTACAGCCTATTTATCACTAAGTTGTTTTGTGTACTGCCTATTTATCACTGTGTTGTTGTGTGTACTGCCTATTTATCACTGTGTTGTTGTATGTACTGCCTATTTATCACTGTGTTGTTGTGTGTACTGCCTATTTATCACTGTGTTGTTGTGTGTACTGCCTATTTATCACTGTGTTGTTTTGTGTACTGCCTATTTATCACTGTGTTGTTGTATGTACTGCCTATTTATCACTGTGTTGTTGTGTGTACTGCCTATTTATCACTGTGTTGTTGTTTGTACTGCCAATTTATCACTGTTGTTTTGTGTACTGCCTTTTTATCACTATGTTGTTGTGTATTGCCTATTTATCATTGTGTTGTTGTGTGTACTGCCTAGTTATCACTGTGTTGTTGTGTGTACTGCCTAGTTATCACTGTGTTGTTTTGTGTACTGCCTATTTATCACTGTGTTGTTTTGTGTACTGCCTATTTATCACTGTGTTGTTGTGTGTACTGCCTATTTATCACTGTGTTGTTGTGTGTACTGCACTGTGTTGTTTTGTGTACTGCTATTTATCGCTGTTGTTTTGTGTACTGCCTATTTATCACTGTGTTGTTGTGTGTACTGCCTATTTATCACTGTGTTGTTTTGTGTACTGCCTATTTATCACTGTGTTGTTGTGTGTACTGCCTATTTATCACTGTGTTGTTGTGTGTACTGCCTATTTATCACTGTTGTTTTGTGTACTGCCTATTTATCACTATGTTGTTGTGTGTACTGCCTATTTATCACTGTGTTGTTGTGTGTACTGCCTATTTATCACTGTGTTGTTTTGTGTACTGCCTATTTATCACTTTGTTGTTGTGTACTGCGTATTTATCACTGTGTTGTTGTGTGTACTGCCTATTTATCACTGTGTTGTTGTGTGTACTGCCTAGTTATCACTGTGTTGTTTTGTGTACTGCCTATTTATCACTGTGTTGTTGTGTGTACTGCCTATTTATCACTGTGTTGTTGTGTGTACTGCCTATTTATCACTGTGTTGTTGTGTGTACTGCCTATTTATCACTGTGTTGTTGTGTGTACTGCCTATTTATCACTGTGTTGTTGTGTGTACTGCCTATTTATCACTGAGTTGTTGTGTGTACTGCCTATTTATCACTGTGTTGTTTTGTGTACTGCCTATTTATCATCACTGTGTTGTTGTGTGTACTGCCTATTTATCACTGTGTTGTTGTGTGTACTGCCTATTTATCACTGTGTTGTTGTGTGTACTGCCTATTTATCACTGTGTTGTTGTGTGTACTGCCTATTTATCACTGTGTGTTGTTGTTGTTGTGTGTACTGCCTATTTATCACTGTGTTGTTGTGTGTACTGCCTATTTATCACTGTGTTGTTGTGTGTACTGCCTAGTTATCACTGTGTTGTTGTGTGTACTGCCTAGTTATCACTGTGTTGTTGTGTGTACTGCCTATTTATCACAGTGTTGTTGTGTGTACTGCCTAGTTATCACTGTGTTGTTGTGTGTACTGCCTATATATCACTGTTGTTGTGTGTAGTGCCTATTGATCATGGTGTTGTTGTGTGTACTGCCTATTTATCACTGTTGTTTTGTGTACTGCCTATTTATCACTATGTTGTTGTGTACAGCGTATTTATCACTGTGTTGTTGTGTGTACTGCCTATTTATCACTGTGTTGTTGTATGTACTGCCTATTTATCACTGTTGTTTTGTGTACTGCCTATTTATCACTATGTTGTTGTGTACTGCCTATTTATCACTGTGTTGTTGTGTGTACTGCCTATTTATCACTGTGTTGTTGTGTGTACTGCCTATTTATCACTGTGTTGTTGTGTGTACTGCCTAGTTATCACTGTGTTGTTGTGTGTACTGCCTATTTATCACTGTGTTGTTGTGTGTACTGCCTAGTTATCACTGTGTTGTTGTGTGTACTGCCTATTTATCACAGTGTTGTTGTGTGTACTGCCTAGTTATCACTGTGTTGTTGTGTGTACTGCCTATTTATCACTGTGTTGTTGTGTGTACTGCCTATTGATCACTGTGTTGTTGTGTGTACTGCCTATTTATCACTGTGTTGTTGTGTGTACTGCCTAGTTATCACTGTGT